CACGTCGCATCGTCCCATAGATAGATGTAGGCTAGTTCGATAGATGCCACACGTCAGATGCATGGATGCACGGGTTAACGAAATGGGGAAACGATTTACTGTCGGTCGAGTCAAGTTGGTCCTGTAGAACATTCTCGGAGGATGCAGTAAAAGTATCATCGTGCGTCAAATTGATAATCTTTCATTCGCCAAGTCGCTGCCTCTTCTCGCGCGCACGGCTGCCCGAGATGTCCTACGCAAAACACAGCAGTTGTTCTTGAAGATTTTCAAGCTTAAACCACGCGGCAACGCAACCTTTCGGTTGGGTGGGGAAGCAAGGGGAAGTTGGATTGTCTGAACGAGCCTGCGCCAGATACCATGGCCACGAACCGTGCTGCCTGACTCCTGCGTCCTTCCAAGAAAAGGCATACTTTCGGCCGTGCCAGGCGTACAATCGCAAGCACCACCGGGAAGGCGTATTCATCATCACACGGGAGCGGCACATCGCCCCTTCTTCGTCTTGTCCTTCTCTCTCTCTCTCTCTCTCTCTCTCTCTCTCTCTCTCTCTCTCTCTCTCTCTCTCTCTCTCTCTCTCTCTCTCTCTCTCTCTCTCTCTCTCTCTCTCTGTCTAGCTCTCTCTCTCTGTCTCGCTGTCTCTCTCTCTCCCCTTCTCTCTTTCACACGAACACCCACAACTCGGAACAGTTTCACGCGTGAACACGTCGAGTTGCACTACATAGACGTTTGATGGGCAGGGTGCGTTATTTGGAGAACTTCAAATACACAAACGCATACAGCCGTCGTACAACAGCAGTCCATCACCACAGGGGGTTTGCCGGCTTACGCCGCCAAGCTGACGGTATGGCATCTACTCTCTGACTGTTTGTGCAGGAAATATTTGGAAAGAGGGAAAATTCAATAGCATGGATCCCAAGATCCAGATGGATGCGGAAAAATTCTTTTGAATGGATCCCAGGATCCAAGCGTGGGTGCTGAAAGTACGTTTCAGTTGGAATGAGTTGTTGAGAGGTACCCCGGGGATCCCCCATGCTTATCAGCTGCCATCACCCAAGAACGAAGCGAGCAATCAAAGTGAGTCAGTCCCAAAGTTAACAATAGTCATCTACGTTGTGACCCCTGCCATACATTGTGGTCAGGTGCGTCGAACACTGCCCTAATCTCACCACAATTACCAATATGCGTGCAACGTACGTAGCCTTCAATTAGGTGTGCGCGAGCTAGGGAAGATTCCCATTGATACTGCCTGTGGTATGGAAATACGTTGTGTGCCCTACAGGTAGAGCTGTGATTCTCCACAACTGGGCGTGCGACAAGATGGCACTTGGGACTTGATTGGCGTGGAAACACTGGAATTCGATTATGTATGGCGGCGGCGGCGGCGCCACTGAATCATCACTTCCGCAGTTATCCAGGTGAAGTCAAGGCAGGTTTGCTTACCACTTGATCGACAAATCGCCTCATCTATTGTTGTGCCGAGTGCTCTCATTTTCGTGTGCGTATGCATACGAACGGGCATTGCTTTATGATTATTGGCTGATTGTAGGCTTCTTTGCCTTGATAAGTCCGTATGACACAAAAGTTCCTCGTGGTACTGGTTCTTTTTCGAGTGCAACTTTTCTTTCGGTTTGTTTGGTGCTTTCCGGATTAGTGTTCTGTCTTTCGGTGACGAGGCACTCGCAGTCAATCGCCACGTGGCGGGTAGGGATAACATACTCTTCCATCTCTCTCTGTCTTGGCGAGTCAATGTTGCCTGTGTTCGTTGCTTCGAGTGGAATGTTTCTGGCTGTGCTCTTCTGCGTCTTGTTTCTCCACGCGTGTCTGGACGCACGCGTGAAACTGCACATATGTCATCTCCGCTGTGTCGTGAACGACGCAAAGCAAACGCCGTCAGCCTCTTTTCTTTTCGACTCAAGAGATGCTTTGTATGTAATGTAGTGTACTGCGGCCGTGACTACATGTTGCGCGCCCGGTTCACTGAGGACTTCGTTGCACGCCTTGTTGACAACAAAGGCCACCATATGATATATACGAGTGCTATTATGTTGCTGCTACAGTAGGGATGGCCCTAACCGCTTTGTTTGGTGCTCCCACACTTCACACCCACACCAACAGTTAGAACAGGAAGATCCACAGAATCCGTGTTTGATTGGATGAAATGATCACAAGACACCTTGTTTTTTTTCAACCTGAAGTTCCAGCAGGCAATACTGCTGTGGGTCAGAACTATTGAAAAAGATGAAACATGATGTTTCAAATCATATGCATAGCATCGAATCGGCACACACAACTACGGAGGAAGATGGCAAGAGTGCACGACTGATGTCACCCTCACGCCACGTTGCAACATAGCACGAGGTAAAACGTCTTCACGCTCGCGCACCACAACACGCTCCACCATCAACCCCTGAGCATAAGGTTATACCCTCC